CCCCAAAACCCCAAAACCCCAAAACCCCGCTAATAAAGAGTGGTGTTGTTTTATATAATTATAATCCAAAATGAGATATAGGACTTACCTTATTACCTTCATGCTCATGGCAGTAGTCTTGACTACTGCTTGGGGAGATGACGGAAGTACCTCAGACCTCAAAAAGCATAAGCGTGAGAACGTTTTTAACAGCTTATCTAAGATGATGCCAACTACATACTTGTACAAGTCAATGTTCCATCATTCAGGTCCGAAGCCAGGTCCTGACCCAGAGCCTGAACCAACACCTAAGGCTGACATCCATCTGCATGTAGTTCCTCATTCACATACAGATGCTGGGTGGATCGAGACTATTGACTGGTACTATGAGAGGAAAGTGAAGGGCATCTTTGATAACATCGTTGCTGAATTATACCAAGACTCTGACATGACCTTCGTCTGGGCTGACACCAACTTCTTGCACCAGTGGTACGAGAGCCAAGGTGAGAAAGTCCAGAAAAAGTTTGATAAAATTGTGAAAAGAGGCCAAATCGAGTTTGTTGGTGGCGGATGGGTTCAGAATGACGAATCCTTGTCAGACCTGAAAAGTATCATCAACCAAATGAACTTTGGACTACAGTATTTGCAGGAGACCTTTGGAGCCAAGCCTAAGGTTGGCTGGCAAATTGACCCGTTTGGGTATAACCACTTCATGCCCAGTGTTTTCCAACAGCTTGGGTATGACTACCTGGTACTTAACAGGATTGGAGATAGCCACAAGGAGGAATTTAAAGCTGATAGTAGTATGGACTTCTGGCTAGAATCAGCAGAAATGGGCGAGGACTCCTCAAAGATCCTCACTCATGTGCTACCTAGGCACTATGAACCGGAAAATTTCGACTCTTTGATCAACAGCATTCCTTGTGCAAGAGATAGCGATGAGGAGAAGAAAGAATTTGTCAAGAATTTTTACGAGAAATATGTCGAAGAACAAGAAAAAGGATTCCCAACGAAGCATCATTTGCTGTTGATGGGGAAGGACTTTGGGTTCAATCAGCAAAATGGAGAACTTCGGAAGATCAAATACATGAACGAGGTTATTACAAAGTACTCCTACGAGGCTCTTGGAGTACAGATAAATGCTAACTTCTCATTGCCCAGTGCTTACTTTGACAATGTCAAGGAGTCAAAGAAACTCAGGAAGAAGAACTTGGACTTCCTGAATTATGATGAACGGCTTGTGTACCTCCATCCAAATGAGGACGAAAACCTCTTTGATTACTGGGTTGGCTACTATGCGACCAGACCACATCTGAAGAAAATGATCAACCAGGCATTCAACAATTTTAGGAGCATGGAAATCCTAGTAACTTCTTGTAAGTATATGAAGAAGTTTGATAAGGCACTTGAGGAGAAATATTTCATTATTGAGAAATACCTCAGTTATCTCCTGCATCATGATGCTATCACCGGTACTTCGAGAAAGGGCACCATTGACGATTACTACAGTAAGGTTGACAAGGCTGAGGCACTGATCGAGGAAATGATGGACATCCTTAACCATATCCTTATTGGAAAATCCAGCTTTGGAAGTGATGTGGAGGAAGAAGGCTTTGTTACTGATTTGCATTATTATTTCAATCAGGCCGCTTATGAAAGGAAATTGGTAGTGAAGATTATTCAAAAGTACCAAAATGCTAGAGTTTTCGACATTGATGCTGGAAAATACTTGGAATGAGAGCTTCTTCCCATAAAATCTTCAGAGAACCATCTGTTTTGTCTACTAGAAATTTCCGGATTGACTCTGAAGAACTTAAGAGTGGAGGCTTCACCAGAAGGAAAGAAGCTTGACCATCAAGCTCAAGTGCTAGACTCTATACCATTCTCAGATAAGACGAGGAAACTTGAGAATCATGAATATGTGCTGAACCTGAAGAAAGATTCTTTAATATCGGACATTTACATGAAATCTTCAGGAAGAAAGTTGACTCTTGACCAGGAGTTCAACTATTATGACGATACAGCTTCAGGAATTTATATCTTTAAGCCTCAGAAAGACAAGGAAAAGTTTGAATACAGAGTCAGCAGCAGCCAGGTTTTCCAAGGAAAACTAGTCTCAGTGGTTAGAACTGCAAGTGAGGGCCATTTCTCACAACAAATTGTTGTGTTCCACAGTGGCGATACTGAAATAGCTCCGCTAGTAGAGACCACTGCTCAGTCATGGGGTTATAAAGAGGTTGGATTCTCACTCAAGACTAATCCTTCTGGTAGCAATACTTTTTACAATCATGACAGCAATGAGTTCGTCAAAAGGGAATTTGAGAAAATCGAGGATATCTCAGAGAGTGGTAGGAATATTTACCCTAGTGTTCATGGATTTGCTGTTAAAGACAAGACCAGCTTTTTCGGAATAGTCAACAACTATCCCACCGGCTGTGGGTTCACCAGTAATGCCAAGAATGATGTCCAATGCTTCTTGATGAGAAATACCATGATGGATGACGACAAGGGGCTTCCTGATTACCTTATAGACACTCAGAAGGTGACTTTTAAGTACTTTATCATGCTAGAAAAGGACATTAAGGAGTACAGCAAGAGGTTCAGAACCCTTTCGGACTATTTCAATCTTCCTGTCACTACTAACTACAGTGACGAGGACAGAGCTGATAATGCGGTGATTTCTGAAATTACCGAAGACCCCGACACTTATTACGAGTCTTTCATGAAATGGATGTTTGAAGAGACTGAAATAACTCCAGAGCCTGAACAAGGTAAGCAGGTTTAACAATTTTAGAATTATACACTCCAATTATGAAACCTGGAAATGCAACTTCATTCACAATTTTACACAACAAGGACTTACCCGAAGATATCGAGATTTTGGACCTATTCGAGAACTATAAGGGCAAGCTATTTGTAAGGATTCGTAACAGAGACTTGAAAGAGTCTCTTGGTGAAAAGCTTAAGGCGAAAGACCAGAAGATTGACTTGAAAGATACCTTTGTCTTTAAGCTCAGTGCCGAGCACAAGTATACCTTAAATGGACTCAAGAAGCACAAAATGATGCCCAAGCCTGAAGGTAGCTTTGATTGGTATAATTTTTAGAAGGAAATATTGTTCAGAAGACGCTTAAGCTGATCGATAAGGGCATAAAATACATCAAAGGGGAAGAATTTAGACACCAATGCTTGAAGGATGGAAAGGCATTGCTGAAGCCAAGAGAGATCGCTACATTTAAGATCGAGACTTAAACCTATTGATGTCTGATGTTTCAACCAATCAATATGTAAAAGGGGTTTTGGGGTTTTGGGGTTTTGGGGTTTTGGGG